CCTAAAAATATCTTTTAAAATGAGTTTAAGAAAAATAATTTTAAAAGATAAAAAATTGAAATGCGTTTAACCAGAGATTCATTTTGAAAAAGGTTCGGGAGTCAGTTACGTGTGGGGAAGTATTAGCACCCCACAACGCCCAAAATTGGTACTTACATGATTATAAGTCATATTAATATTAAAATTAACAAATTCGAAAATATTTAAATTATGATATTTGTTTTTCAGAAAAATAAAAAGGATACTATTTTATACGGATAATCCTTAGAAACACACTCATTGTCAGTTAAGGTGTGCTTCTATAAATTCCTCGAATAAAATAACACTTAAAACTATTATAATTAACAAATATGTAAATAAAGAATTAAAATAATAAATAAAATAATTTTAGGGATTAAATTATAAAATTACAAAAGATCAAGGTTACCTACGTAAATAAATCATATTATAGGAAATAAAATTGTAAATAAACAAATAATATATTAAAAATTAAAAATATTAAAGTTCGGGGATTAAATTGCAAAACATTGAGATTAATAGACATAATTCAAAACATCACAAAAGCTAGGTACTGGTAGTGTAATTTAACCATAAATAACTATTCGAGATTAAAATATAAATTATTAAAATTGAAGGATTAAATCTGATATTTACCCAAAACAGATATATATACGGTTAGTGACTAAAATAAAATAAAATTTAAAAGTCAAATTAAAATACTTAGAAATCAATTTCCAGTGATCAGGATGTAAAGTTACAAAATCAGAGGGACTATGGACGGGGTTTACCCGAATACGAGCACCCTTTTTCCTAAAAGCCCTCCAATCGTAGTAGATCTAAGTTTTTATACATTCGAAATGATAACCCTCCAACGACATTTGTAGGCTCCGGTGAGCAAGGTAAGCTTCTCTCGGGTTTACTCTGTTTTTCTTTGTTGTTGGTTGGCTCTTGGCTCTAAGGTTTTTTTTTCTTTTTCGTCGTTGCTTCGAATCTCTTTGAATGGATGTTGTTGTTGTGTTTTTTTTTCGAATCTCTTATGCTCTTATGGTTATTGTCGTCCAGTTCTTTGCAAGTGATGGGGCTTTTTATAGGCCCCCGTGGTATGCCCTTTGAACCTGTTAAAGAGGGGAACCCCGGTGAATCACCGGAGCTATGGTGGTGACTCACCATAGGGGCGGCTGGGTGCATTAAATACACCCAGATCTCCTAGATTCGACTGGCGCGTGATGGTTGTGTGGCAGTAACTCAGAGGAGCACTTGGCAATAGAGGCGACGGCGGGCTTATCTTTGAGCTAAGGCGGCGCCGAAATAGCCTTAGGGTTATGATGAAAGGGTTTCTCTGGAATGATCTGGGCTGTTGGATCTCTCACAGATCCAACGACTGAGAAAGCTGGCGACTAAGAAGGCTGGCGGCTGGAAGAAAATGTGAAAACCCTAACTGCTGGGTTAGACTTGGTCTGGGCATGGGCCGGGTTATGGATCTACTGGGTCGGATATGCTTAAACCGGCCTAGGTATATTGGGTTTGTTGTAATTGGGCCCTGAGTTTTTTACTGTAACTGGGCCTTCTGGGTCAGATTTGTAAATTGTCACCTATAATAAATTTATTATTTAATAATAATAATAATAATAATATAATATAATAATAATATAAAACGGGACGAAAATGATTGTCTACCACCCTTTTACTAATATGCATTTCTTTCTCACTTGTGCCGGAAACCCATGCTTCTTGCTAGTCATCTTCTCCGTCGCCCGTGGCTCCGAAAACTTGAGAAGGAAATTTTTATTTCATGAATGCATCTTTGCTTTACTTCTTGTGGTTGGTCATATCCTTTTCACCTTTGTTGATATCCAGACATCTCCAAGTTTTAATATTATTAGTGTTATAATGATTTTAAGTGCCTTAATCAAGGATATGTTTCTGATAATTTTCACGAATCCATTTTCACCATGAATCCGAAAATAACACATGTTTAGTCTTAAAAAAACTCATTTTTTTTAATAAAATGGTGTTGCAATTAACAAAATGCCTTTCGTATCAACAAAATAAACCATGAATCCTGAAAGAAACCCATTAATCTTGGCGGCTAGTATTTGCTTAATACTAAAGACGAGAAAAAAAATCATGTTCTCAAGATCAATAGTGTAAAAGTAAACAAAATTGGAACTGTGTCAAATCTAGAAGAGAAATTAGAATACCTCTGATGAAGTAGGCAAACTTGATTTTAAATTTGGAGATAAAATATTGATAAAACAATCCATTGAAATGAAAAGTGGACTTTTTTCGATAATTGCTTCCTTTTTTCATCCGACTATTTTTCTTTTTAAAAATATGAAATTACGATGAGATGAGGTTTTCGGTGATGGAGAATATGACCAGAAAAAAGGCATGGGATTCGCGCGTGAGGAAGAAAGCATATTACTAAAGGGGTAAATTAAAATTTTATTCATAAACTACTTTTAGTTTATAAAAAAATCCCATAATTAATATTTTATATAAATTTTAGGGATTAAAATAAAAATCAAACCATTTTATTAAAGTGCCACATTAGTAAACTAACAACCCGTAATATCTCAAGGAACAAAACCTAATAAAACGATAACGTAAGAGATCAAACTTTTAATTTTGTTAATTTTAGTACTGACGTGTACTTTTAGTGCAATTATGTCACCCCGTCGTTAATACTTAACGGGACGATGACATGGTAACGGAGTGCCATGACGTTGCTGACGTGATTATTTCACCAAAATGACGTCGTTTTGGCACGACTGATTTGATGTTTAAAATCCTCAAAACGACATCGTTTTATTTGAGAAAAATATTGAAATATTGTGTTTAGGGGATTCAAACTCTAAACCAATAAAATTAAATTTAAAGCTTAACCTTACATCAACTTAAGATTTTGTTATGTTTTTTTTAATTTCTAAAAGAGAAAATAACTCAGTGACCAAAAATGTCTTATAATATACGATTTTAACCAACTTTTTTTGGATTTGCCAAAATGACCACGACCACGACCACGACCACGACCACGACCCGACCCGACCCGACCCGACGAGACGAGACGGACGGCGACGGCGGCAGCGCGCGAGAGTCCCCCTTGTTCTCTATCACTCAACAAGGAAGTGGGAAAGCCAAGCCTTAAATACCATTCCCAATAGTGTTTCCAATACTATGTGGGATTGAGCATTACCAACACTTGTTCCCAATACTATGTGGGATTGAGCCTTAAATAGTGATATTATTTTTGAATGTTTTGCTTAAAATTGCAATAATCGTTATTGATTGTAGATTGACATTTAATTATGACATATTTAATCGTATAATACTAATGCAATTGGTTGTTGATTCAGTTGTTTTAAGGTGCATGATTGTTAATTGTTTCCTGAATAATCACATTGTATTGGAAACAAGTGTTGGTAATGCTCAATCCCACATAGTATTGGAAACACTATTGGGAATGGTATTTAAGGCTTGGCTTTCCCACTTCTTTGTTGAGTGATAGAGAACAAAGGGGACTCTCGCGCGCTGCCGCCGCCGCCGTCCGTCTCGAGGTCGTGGTCGTGGTAATACGTGTCTTCGACACGTCCGCGCGAATACTATCTTTTTAGAGAAAATTCTTAAGAAACAAATGCAATACCACCAGTCGTTGCGATTTTGGACTCAATGCGATAGTCGACTATCGCAATGCGAATATGTAAATCGCAATGCGATGGTCCAAGTTCGCATTGCGATAGTCCAAGTTCGCATTGCGATAGTCGACTATCGCATGCGATTTACATATTCGCATTGCGATAGTCGACTATCGCATTGCGATTTACATATTCGCATTGCGATAGTCGACTATCGCATTGCGATTTACATATTCGCATTGCGATAGTCCAAGTTCGCATTGCGATAGTCCATGTTCGCGTTGCGAACCTGGAAACTTATTTGCGATACCGGAGATCGCGTTGCGAATTATCGATCGCATTGCGATTTAGTTGGTCATTTTGGCAAATCCAAAAAATGTTGGTTAAAATCGTATATTATAAGGCATTTTTGGTCACTGAGGTTATTTTCTCTTTCTAAAAACCCATTCTAAATTTTTAAACAATATAGAGACTAAACTAAACTTTTCTTAAAATTTTCTCCATTATTCCTCCTCGTCTTCATCTTTATACTCATTTTTTATTCATTCAAAAACTGTTTTGATCAGTCTTAAACAATTGGGCAATCCACCGTCCATGAAACACATGGATTGCAAAATTTCTTGCGTCAACAATTCTTAAAGACAAATACAATAGAATTGCAACCATATGAATCACATGCCATTGCAAAATCTTCCCATGGAAGATTAATTCTCTAATCCAAAAGGAGGGAAACAAAAAAAAATATTATTTCACTAAGGATAAGTTAAAATCCACCCAAATTAGAACGAATGCATAGATAAGTTGCATACTAACAACCCTTGCTTTGGATTCAATCACAGAAAACCCAATTCTTTGGTGCAACCAACTCAATTGCAAAATCACCAAAACAGCCCCACAACAGTAGAAGATCACAACTCTTTCGATAGAACAATGTAGATTGAATACAAGTTTTAAATATACATAGAGAACGATCCACCTGCATGATCAATCACAAAAAAAAATCCTAAAAGGAATTACAGAAGTCAACAAAGTTTTTAGAAAAGAAAGAATGAAAAATAAGAAATGAAAGAGAAGAATGGAGATGCCTATGTTCAACGGAAGGGGAAGAGAAACAGACGCCAAATTATATCATGTTAGAATTTGCCCAGAAACCGTTGAATCTCGTCTTGTTTGAAAGGAAGAGAAACAGGTTTACCTGTGATACGAAATGACTTTGAACGACATCGACTAGTTGTGCTTTCGATGGATTGGGGATGTCATCCACCTAGCATTAGCATAAGCAATTACATTTAACAACTTTTTCTTCTTCTGTTATAAATGTGCCTATTTCTTGTGCCAAGATCTTACAAGATTGAAGTGTCGCGAATATCTCCATAAAGCAGCTATCTCGAGTTTGCTAAGGTCTACCTTCGACAGGGGAGATTAATGGAAAAATACAACCCACATTACTCCAATAATAGTTAGCTAACATAATTGAATAATAAACCAAAAGAACTTAAATAAAAACCGAATACAAGTTCGATAAAAATCATTATTTACCGTGGAGCCAACAGTAGTGGAAACAGAACCCTTAGATTGTGAGTCACAAGAAAGAGACCTGCTCATAGTCTTGTGAGAAGAACCAGTTGATTTATGGGTTCTATGCCTCGATCTGTGCGACTTGTGAGTGTCATCAGATACTGGAAATTGAGACATATTCAGGATTAAAGAGAGAAAAAGTACGGTGGGACCAATATAAAGATAAAGCAATGAAACATTGAAGCTTTTAGAAATAGCAAAAGTTAAAGTGAAGATACAAAGGATCCTATGTTTCAGGCTCAACTACAATTCACTAGGAGGAAATTATCATACACCAGATGGTTAATCTCAAAGTAAAGTATAATTAGAGATCAAAAAGATGGTTAATCTCAAAGTTAAGTATAATTAGAGATCAAAAATCACCAAGGATGATAAGCATAACACTTCCCTCCAAGACAAAGAGGTCTTGCACACAATACATGAGAACTTGAGTAGTCGACACAAGAAAAGAAATATCTTTTCCACTACATATGAATGAAATTATTAGAAGCGCATACGAAAGAGACAGACAATCAAGACTATTGTTGGTTTGAAATGGCTTAGCGGTTCGACATTATACACATCTAAATTATGAGGCTGATGCATTTTTGGAAGGAACTCACCCATGTCTGATCCATTACACAGCATGTTTTCGAATTCAAGATCGCTGTCATCTTCGTTGCCAGTAGGTGCTTCAATTACGCTGAGTGCATTTCTCTGTAGCTTTACTTCTATGCCATTAGTAAGAACCTGTGGTTTTTATTAATTAGACAAACAAATATCACTATCAGCTACACAGTAAACAAATGCCTAATCCACCAAAATAAACTAAATGGTCAGCTAGAATTAACATTGTCAATTTGTATTTCAATCCACTAGCCAATCCAGGGTTTTTACAAATAAAATAAAATCTGGTCTTGAATGCATATAATTCAACGCGAAATCTATGATCAGCAACAATAAGAAAAGATAGCAAATTATGGGAGAGAAAAATCAACATCAAAATATGATCATTTCCAGCAAACTATGAATTAATGGCATAATAAATCATGTGAAACAAAAATGAAAGTTACAAAAAAGGGGGAATCTGAACAGAAAAAAAAAAGTGGGGATTTTCTTAAAAACCAAGAAAGCAAAATCAAAACTCAATTCCAAAAACAGCATCAAAACTCCGAAAATAAAATGAGGTTCCAATGAGAAAAACTTCCAAAATCAATTCCAACAAAATCCCAAAAATATTGAATAAAAAATGCCGTCTCAATTTTAAGATGAAACTCGTAATAATTTGTTATTAAAAAAGGGAAATGAATAGCAATGCTTTACAGTAGATTACAAACAATTTTTTTTTATAAAAAAGGACCAAAATTCTTGAAAAATCAAAATTCATTGTAAAAATCATACATTTACTAAAACACTTGGAAATTCCAGATCCATAGACTAAAACTTACATGCAATCAAAACCCACTCCCAAGACCTCAAATTTGCAACTTGAGGCCAGTAGAAAAAACCATTGTTTTTATTTGATAAAATGATAGAAATCAAATTCAAGATTGATATTTGCAGTTTTAGTAAAAAAAATTATAAAACAGGACAGTCAACTGTATTACAGAGAAAAAAAGGATTAAAATGAAAATCACCCAAAACAAATACGGATAATGAAATGAACAGAAAAGTTCACTCGATAAAATATCAAACGTTTAATAATTGAAAATCTCAAATTGAATGCACATTACCTTAAGAAAAGTAAAATTTGAATTAACTAAATCTTGAAAATATAAACATTATAAACCAGAAATTAAGAGCAGCCAATTTCAAGATCAAACCGCAAAACCCTTTTTTACCAAAAACTGAAAAAAGAAATCCAAAGAATTACCAGCCAATGCCACCCGCCAAGCCCAACAGCCTTCTTGACCACGCCTTGAAGACCAACAAGAACAGATTTAGTACGGTTATCAACCACTTTAGTATGACGTGGCAGCACCGAGAGCTCTTCTTCGCTACTGTCTCCGCAACTTTGTAACTGCGAGAAACCACCGCCATTGACGGTACTCTCCATTGCCTCCAACATAGTTTCTCCAACAAGCCCCAACTCAGGTGGGTGAAACTCAGTAAAAATTCCAGAGCCAGGGATCAAAATTACATTTGATCGGAAGATCATGCATTGGTGAATACGTATAATTGGTTTTCGTAAGTAGAGGAGAGAGAAATTAAGGCAAAATATGGAATTTCGTGGAAGAGAAAACACAGTTGAGAGTAGGCCTGTAAATGAACTGAACGTTCAGCGAACCGTTCATGAATCGTGCAGCGGAAGTTTGTTTATGTGCGTTTATTTATTAAATGAACGAACATGAACAAGATTTTGTGTTCGTTTAATTAAATGAACGAACATGAACATAGGTCTCGTTCGTTCATTTACGTTCGTGAACGTTCGGTTATGTTCGTTCGATTATGTTTGTTTATGTTCGTTCGTTTATGTTCGTTTATTTATGTTTAACCCAATCTTTTTAAATCAATTTTGGTGACTAATTTGTAAGTATCTTAAAAATATTAATTAATCTGATATTCTGATGATCAACTCCATAATTAACCCAATTTTATTTGGAAAACCCAACAATATTAACATGGTTTAGTTCTTTTTGAACAATCCATAAGCTGCATACCCAGCACCGTCACATCCACTGCGTCGGAACCTATGTGACTGTGCCACCAACAATACTTATGTTCGTGTTTTCGAGTTTAGTTGGGCTAACTTTGAAAGTTTTCGAGTTCGAGTCGAGCTCAGTAATACTCGAGCTCGACTTGGCTCGTTTACACCCCTAGTTAGGGTCTCCAATGTTTATGTTCGTTTATGTTCGTGTTCGTTTATGTTCGTTTATTTATTAAATGAACGAACATGAACAAAAAAATTTTGTTCTTTTATGTTCGTGTTCGTTTATTTATTAAATGAACGAGCATGAACATACTTCCATTCGTGTGCGTTCGGTTCGTTTACAGGCCTAATTGAGAAAGGAGGGGACCAAAAAATCAGAGCAGTTGTTTTTTTCTAGGGAGAGAGACTGGTTTTAGTTTATTGGTTCGTGTCGCTAGGAATCCCGACAAAACAAAATGGACCAATCAAAGGATTCCACGTAGGGATGTGAGACCTTTTCGTCAATCATGCGTTACAGAGAGGACAGGAAAATTCTCTGAAATAGCAGTTGAGGTTTTACTAGCAGTGAAATAGTAGTAAAATCACCGGATTCCACCTTTTGGTTTTACGTTACTTCTTAATAGTTTGTAAAAGAATTTCTAATGCAAAATTACAGTTTGCAATATTTATTTATACGAGTTTTCTCAAATAGATTTTTAATGTAAAATCATCGTTTTTTCTAGTTTTTTTAGTCAATAATCATTTTTTTAAAAGTAAAATTTTGATTGAAAATGAGTTGTTTGGAAATGTTTAAACGTTTAAAATGAAATTTTGGCTAAAAACAGTTCCATAAAAATTCCTCAAGTGCATGACATCTATAATAACTCAAAATCACTATATTCGGTAATAAGCTTTTTAAATCATTCAATGTTTAGATATGAGGTTTTTTATTTATTTAAATATAATTTTTTGGTAATAATTTAAATATATTTTTTGGTAATAATTTAAATATAATTTTTAAACATGTGCCCATTGAGTGATTTAAGACAAGGCTAATACATGTGCCACACATCAACTATGGACTAAATAGTTTTTCTTAATTTTAATTTCAGAGATTAACTTTAATTTTTAATTAAATTTCAAACAAATTCGTAAATCAAGAAAGACTCGAGGTCCTAACGCGTGATTTTATCATTTCCCAAGTAAGAGGAGTTTAAAATCCCTCCCATTTTTTCGGAGGCTTCCCAAAATAAAAATCCATAGTCTATCTCAACTTTTAGATTTCTCTCTCTCATTTTTCCTTAAAGAAACTTTTATCGTCGTTTTGTCGTCGTCTACAACTTCATTCATCTCACCATCCATACCATCGTGTTCCTGGTAAAATTTTGAGTCCATCGGTGTCTTTATTTCCGTCATTATCGTCGGCGTGTGAAAGGGTAAGAAACAACAAGTTTATAATCGTTCACAATTGTGAATCAAGTTTGGCAAGTGACTAAAAACTTCGTGTTTTTAGTTTTCATAATTTTTCCAAAATTTTAACACCCAAACCGTCGCACGCACCGTCTTGCGCGTGAGGCTTCTCCATCGTTTGGGAGAGCTTTTGGAACCGGGTCAACCCAACTCGTATTTCGACCCATTCTAGTACCCAGCCCAATTTTGACCTGATCCATCTCAAACCTTCAACCCAACCCTAACCGACCCAACCGAATCGATCTAGCCAAACTGAATCAAACCAGTTCAGTCAAGCTGAGCCAAGATGTTTATGTTGACCGCTATTAACCGTTTACTGTCATTTATCGTCGTTGACCAGTGTTGACTTTGATAGTTTATCGAAACTGACTTTTTATGAAAACCTCCATCTTGATGTTTTTTGATATCCTGAGTCTAATTTTGCATTCTATTTCGCTAAATTATAACTTGAAAGCCACAAATTAAGCCTATTAACCCAAAATACCTATTAACCCAAAAATACCTTAGTATTTTTAGTATTTTCACATTTTTATTGGGTAGTGAATATATAATTAATTTGGGTAGACTAGATATGATGCTTCTCATCCAACAAATCTGCACGATTCACGTATTGTGAGATTTACTCATAGGTTTTTGTAAATTATTAAAATAAAGTTTATAATTTATCTTATTAGGTTGGCGATATAATTTCGTCTGATTCGTAGGATCTAGCATTGTAGCAGATCGTGATAGACAGACCTAGTAGTAGGCTACCCTATCAGACTTCTCAAAACGATACATGTGTGTTCCTGATGGTGTTAAATTATTGTTTTGATTTATTTATCTGAATTGTTCTCAACTTTGATGGGACTAGATATTTTAATGACATGATTCTCTGATTTATAGTATACTAATGATTGGATTTCTAATTTACTATATATTTATGGCATGATCTTTGGTTACTGTATTTTCTGAATATGATTTTAAATCATGGATTGTTTTCATGTTTTGATATTAAAACTATTATTTTCACTTAAGTACATGCATATTATTATTGTCATGGGGGTATTATTAGAGGAAGTATCTTAGGCTTAGTCTATGACTTGTAAGACCTTATCACAAGCTCCTCTACTTTACGCATAAGATAATTCCTTATCACAGGTCCTTATGCTATAAGTATAAGGTCCTTGTCGGGTGTACATGTGGGTGTATGGTTCATGGGAACCTACATATACTGATGTTTGAATGGGGTTAGTGGTCTTGTTTTCTAAATAAATTTTATCGATGTGTTTTATATATGTATCTTTATATACACCTTAAAGAGCACATTGAGTTTTTTAGCTCACTATTTACTTTTTAACGTTTTCAGATATTACCAGATAGTGGGCTAGTACACTTGAAATGAGGAGGATTGTTCGTTTCTTCTTTTGTTACCATTGTATATCATTATATGATCTTTTTTTTATATTTTGGTGGCACATGTTTTTTTTCTGTCTTTATATATTTGTATTATCGATATTGTAACATCCCAAAAGCCGGGTCAGTGACTAAAATGTAAATTTTGGAAACTTTGTGCTCAATTTTGAAATAATTTAAAAGTTTTGGGATTTAAGTAAAGAATTTTGATGATGGATTAAATAGCATAGATGGATAATTAAAGGGGCAATTTAGTCTTTTCAGCTTAAAGGATATTTTGTGTTTCCTTTAAATAAAGTGGTACACGTGGGTTTTGGGAGATTTCTGGAAGCCTTCTTCTTACTCTCTTCTTCTTCTCGTAGCTCCAGCTTAAAGGTAAGTTTGATTTTTAACTGTTAATTTCTGGAATTTATAAGTTGGTTTTGAATCTTTGGGTATTAAATAAGCTTAAGGAAAGGTTATATGGGATTTAAACAATAAGATAAAGGAATTATGAAGGAATTTGCAATATGAGTTTTAAGATGAAATTTTGATATGGTATGGTTGTTGAAGTTTTATGGATGAATTTGACTTGTCATCAATCTAATTAAGAAGTATGAAGTGTTAGAATTGGAATTAGAACACATTGAAAATTTGGTATGATTCTTGAATCTCATATGAAAGATAGGATTTTGAGGTTTAAGATGAAATAAATGAATATAGATTGGTTTAAGTATGTGTACTAGAGTTAAGAATGAAAAGGGGATGATATATGAAGTGTTTGATAGGAAATGAAGTAATTTTCGAGTTAAAAATATGATTTCTGGGCAAGGGGAATCGGTACCCATTCAAGGGTAACCGATACCCCTTCAAACCAACAAAAATTTCCAGAATATCATGAGGGAATCGATACCCCCTTAGTAGGGAACCGATTCCCCCTAAAGGAAATTGTGAATATGGGTTTAATAAGTTCGTTTAAGTTGCTAGTATCCAATTACAAGGTGTAGGTATCTAATGATTGCCTCAAATGTACATTTATGTAGATTCTGCGCGTAAAGCAATTCCGGAACATTTGGCAAGTAAGATCGATCAAGGGAAAGATAAGAGATTGAAATTGACTAGTGAGGCCAAGGTGAGTGTATACTAGTGACATGTAGTGTTTAATGGAAATAAGACTTGCGATGAGTCTATTTTCTAGAGTAATATGCATGAAGTCATAGACATGATTATGTGTTGGTTATAACTATATGTGATTATATGTATTACATTGATTGTATGTATGCATGACTAAAGATAATGATATGATTTGTATATGCTATATGATTTATGTAAGACTTTATTATGTAGTAATGGAAGAACATGGAATAAGTTATATGATAGAGTCATAAGAAATGAAATAAACATGAGAGAATAAGATAATCAAGTATAAGTCATATTATATGGTATAAGTGATTATACGAGAAAAGTTAGGAGACTCTAAGAGAATAGTATGAATTCGAGGGCATAAATAAGGATACATAAGTTATATAGAGAAGATTGATAAATTAAAGGAAACTATGGTTTATGTATTAAAGTGAAGAGCTACAAAGTTTATTAAAGAGTATTGTGGAAGTCATGAGAAATTGAACTAAATAAATAGATGGTTTATGTGAATAAAAAGGGAAAATGATATAATAAGTTATGAAATTATAGGAATATAG